AAAAAATGGAGGCATAATGAACAGGTAGCAAAAGGAACGGACCTTTAGTAGTTATTTGATTTGAGACAGTGGGGCAGTGATGGGGAGAAAAAAGTGCCTTTTGTTTCCCTCACCCTCCATTTCTCCAAGCTTTCTAATCTAAAATATTAATGAATGCTCTCCACAACGCATACTCAGTTCTCACAAAATGTAGGTCACAAAATGTGACCTACAGTCACCACTCAATGCTTCTGTGCCTTCTGTATGACTGAAACATCCCTAGTGTTAGCTCTTTCCTGAATGTTGTTCCCCAGCCCATCTAAATTTTGCTCCCCTGCATGCTTCTGTCTCCAGTGATTCCAGTCCCTACACTTACCGTGGATTGCTGTCCCTCCCTGTGACCCATTCCCAGAGTCTTCTGTATAACCAAACTTGGCTTCCACATCTCTGGTCTTTCCCCCAATCCTATTCAAAGTGACTCGTATTTATCTTCATCCATGCAAAAGCAGTACTTTGGGGCCCCATCAGAGGGAGACAACGGTGGATTGAGGAATAGTTTCAGAGAGGAACAGACAGCTCTGCTGTCTGCCCGGGGCTGCCACACAGGGTGTTACAGGTACTTAAGAGCCAGGAGGAAGGATTGAGTGTCACAACAGCACACCATGGGACCTGGCTGGTCCCTGGGACATTCAGTAGCTGATGGCTACTGCCATTAGCAGCAGCCCATACCTACCACCCTCAGGGACGGAGGGTATGCGTGGACTGCTGGCCTTCTGCTGGTGGCATCCCCACAAGCACTCAAGATGATCTGAACTCCCGTCAGACACCATGTCAGCTCCTGTTTGATGTAAACAGGAGTGATACAGCGATGACTGATCTATAGGCTATGCAAAGACAAAGAGGATTTGGTGCAGTACAGGAAGCTGGACAAGGATATGCAGGCTTAGGACTTAACTCAGCTGCAGCCTTCTTCGCAGTTCTGGAAGTTTCCTTACTTTTTGTCTATTTATTTGGAAGTAGAAACACGTGTTTCTGGGAAGCCAGTTTATACTGAGTAGAGACAGAAGAAAGAGAAAGGCAACAGTGCAGGAGCACTCCTCAGATGCATACAGCCTTGTGTCAGGCACAGACAACCACAGAAAACTTGAGAGAATACAGCAGGCATGAATCCTGCGTATCTTTGTCTGACAATAATTACTTCAAAAATTAATCATTAATCACTCTGCTTGTTTTGGCCCATATCAATAAAAGTTTTATGTAGCAGTACCTGTACATTTGTCTATTTGCTGATTCACACTCAGCAAAGATAATTAGCAAGCACCGCTAGCTATATACAGACCTCCTGTGTAAGCCACTTTCATGTGATGTGTCTCGTTATCCTATGTCCACAGCTTTTATTTGCTAGTAAAGGAATAGCAGACGTGATATTTGGGATTTAGAGAATTATAACAACTGCCTGTGCCTGCTATGTGACCACTTTTTATAAATAATTCTGAGAAAGTCAGAGTGCGTAAAACTGAATCATAAAGATTCTGGCTACAGACACACTAATCCCCTACAAAGATAGAGCTACTCATAGATTGACTTGTTACACTGGATGCACACAGTTCAGAAAAAGAAGCTGTGGTCACATCTCTGGGCAGGCTTTCTTATGAATATTTTAAAAATCTGCCTCAACTAGTCTAGAACTGCCATGGCCGGCTAGAAATGCTTCATCAGAGTCAGCCTAGTGATGTAAAATACAGCTTTGCATTCAAAATGCAGAAGTAAAATAAAGTAATATTGCAACTTCAAGGCCTCTAAATTTAGAAGATGACTGAGATGCCTTTTATGAACTGTCGTTCTTCCTCTCCCCCCTTTGCACACAATGCAAACCTATTCAGTGTTTGTTGTGCAGTTGCCTCATTCTCCACAGCATGACCTCAGGCCTTCCTTGCAAATTGTCCAACACAGAGAAAAAAAATGGAGCCCTGGTGGATTACTCTGTGACATTCAACATTTAGTTCAAATGCATCACAAACAATGTGTTTTCTACCTGTAAACTGAGACATTTTTCTCACTTCCTATTCGGAGATGGAAGGAATTAAGACAAAAAGTGCCTATGAAATACAAATATCATGAGACATCTCAGAGTAAGTTTTAAATTTCCCTTTATATTATATATATATATATGTTTTCATATATATATATATTATCAAACATATATTCATATGTTTAAGACACTGCTTCCATAGGTTAGTTAGTTATGTTTGTTCTCAACATACCTGTGGACAATCCACTAATGAATAAAAGTAGGTATCAGGAAAAGATAATGTGAATGATTTCACAGCTATGACATCAGAACTTTGGGATGCAAAAGAGATAAAGGTCAATTTTAAGTAAGAAGTTGAACTGCCAAATATGAGATTTTTGTTTTCGTTTAGCAAATACATTCTACTCATTGCTTAGAAAAGTTAGAAGTGTTCAAGATGAAATCCCCCTTCAGTATGCTGCGCAGTCTGAACCTTATCTTTGGGGTAAATGAGGCATGGACGGATAATGTTCAAAACAGGACATGATAATAACTGTTGTATAATGCAGTCACAAGAAAGACAAATTATGTTGTACAGACATCCTTGACTTTGTTACTTTTAACTTTGCAAACACAGTAACATTTTAACTGTCTGATGTGTCCGTGATGTTTTATTCTAAATTGAGTAAAGACCACCCAACCAAAAAGGAACTCCAGCATATGACATCCTAATTGCATTTATGTGTGATTAGCAGAGCTGCAACTGTTGGCTTTGGCATATATATCTGATTCTTAATTACGACCATAAATGGCAAATAGCGATGTAGTTTCATTATGAGGGAGGCTTGAACAGAGGAATATTGGACACTGACAAAAGCTTCACAGATATTTCCTAACAATGAAAATCATCAAACTTGCAGCTCTGTGGGGAAGCCTGCTCCCCTGTGAGCACATGCATCTTCCTGTACTCTCTAAATCTGTATTTCTTGGGGACAGCTGCTGTCCTGTCCATAACTCTATCAGCATTTAATTTCTTGAATGTCATTCTCATCACCCTGTTGTTCACTCTCTTTGCACCTATCTTCTGATCCCATGAACAAATCATCCAACCAAATTCAGCTTCCAACTCTCTGGCCTCCTGGTTTAACAAATCTCAGTTCTTATCCTGCTCATTCCCCACACAGTCCATCTCCATTGCTCCTCTTCTCCATCAGTGTTTTCCATTTGCCCACATTCCTTATTCTCCTTCCTATTTGAGTATTATCTTTTGGTGATACTCCTCAGAAATCTTTGTACTAGTTTTCTTCACTTACCCATATTTCTTTCCATTTACTGCCCTCATCCTCCCTAACATTTTTCTTAAATTTTCACCTCTTCATCCAGTTTCTGCCAAATGCCCATCCATGCTAGCTCCTCCCTGCCATCCACCCAGATTTACTTTTCTACAGAATCACAGTATGAAGACAATCCTAATCACGTCAGTCGTTCAATCTGTTTCTCCTCACCCCCAAATGAATTAAAAAAGGGGGATAAAACAAACAACAGAACAAATTATAAGGGCATACATTGTTACATCATGCTTTCTCAACAGAAGATTTTGCTCAGATAAAAGAACATCTTACCGAAACTGTGGGTGACATTGTTGACCCAGAAATCTTGTGTACGTCAAAAGTGAAAAATTGTCTACTGTCCCAGGACTGTCAGCTGTGAATTTTACTGCAAATCTTCTTTTAAAATAATTTTGAAAAATATTCTGACTTGTTAAAATTCTGCCTTGCAATCAATGCCTTGCTTTCACTTGAAATGATGATGACATTTCAGGTAACAATTCACCATTGCTAGAGGGGCTGTGCAGAAGGTGGTTGTCACATTAGCCCTTCCAAGGAAGGGGAAATTATCCCCTTTGATTTTGAGGAAGCTGAATTTGGGCAACTACCTTGAAAGATGTGACTCAGTCACAGAGTACTGGGCAGCAGGGGACTGAAAAAAACAAAACAAAACAAAACAAAAACAAAACAAAACAAAACAAAAAAAAATGGCTCAAGGGAGCAGAGAGAAGGACATAGAGGAATACTAGAGAAAATTGAAAGGTCAAGGTAATGCCTGGAGCAGCAGTAGGAGTGAAGGAAAGGGCACATGCGTTGTGGCAGAATGGAATGATATATCAGATAGGAGACTGAAAAAAGTAACGGAAAATAGGGAATTAATCTGCTTATTCAATGTCTAGGGTTACATCTTCTAAAAGAGGTGTTAGCCTGTTGGCAAACTGTCTCAGTGTATGCAACTTATGAGCACAAACATTTGTAGATGTCTGCTCTGCTAATACATTGAGTGGCACGTCCCTCACTCCCTTTTGCTACTGGTTAGCCTGAAATTGCTGATCCCAGCAAAAGATCTATCCACTCACTGCACGCTTCTGCAAACAGAAGAGCTGCGACATGACCAATACACCTACCTTTGAGAAAAGGCTCCAGTTTTCTTGCTACGGCTGGCATTCTCTGCATCATCCTTAAGAAGTTCACCTAACTAGTTTTGTCTGTTTACCAGTTTGAAAATTACAGTGTCAAGGTGTACCAGCTACCTGATGGCTGTGTTTAAAAAGTGACATTAGAAAAACTCACACCACCACACTACAATCCATTATATTATTTTTGCATACTGAAATTATGCTGTTTGAAAGTTATTTTGCAGTTGTGATGCTGAAGTCTTGTGTCATGACTTCATAGTATAGTACAGCCATACTGCAACTACAAAATATATTCCTTAAAATATACGCCACAGGGGTTTTGCCCACAAACTTCCAATAAAATTCTCTCCACTACAAACAAAACCAAAAATTAAATTGCAAATGCTGGGAGGCAATTTTCCTGCTCACAACTACATTGTCTTTTGCCAGCATCAGAAAATAATCAAGAAAAACATTATAAGAAAATGTACCAATTTTTAGTTTTAAAGAATAAAATGCTCCAAATACTTCTGGGTTCTGAACAGCACATTTTTAGCAACTTACTTTCACTGGCTGAATAGTCCTGTGGATCAAGTATCCCTGATTCCTGCAGTGATCTAATACAGGAGTCCACCAGCTCCAGACCAGTAGTGAGCTCATCTTCTATATCCTTCTGACCATCTGTAATAACATCAACACAAACAAGTGAAAGAAAGGAAGAGGTAAAACCAGTTACATGCCATCATGTACAGTTACAGCTGATGAAGGAATGGAGAACACACCAAGATTACATGTTCAGAGGAGGCTGGTCGTATCAGTCCAGGAAAATTATGCCATCTTTTGAAAGTGTGGCCTTGGATTAATAAAAGCTAATTGGGAAAGCTCAGGTCTCATCTTAAGAAAAAGCTAGAGGTGTTTAGCAATGCCCCCTCTTGAAAGATTGCACTATTTTGGGTGTCCTTTTTGCCAACCCTAACAGCTTTTGCCAAGTTCTGCCATTTTTTTCTCTATTTTTCACATGCTAGCAATAAAAACAAAATAAACAAACAAAAAAACCATCCCTGCATAAATGCACACTGATTTCCCCTCTACCTTCTTTGGGAAGTATGACCACTCTGGTAGGAAATACATGTAGTACTCTAATGATAAGTACATTACCTTGTGTTTGCCAGTGAAACTGCTCTTCCGTTGAACTGTAAAGAAAGAAAAAGTGTTAATTTTTTATGAAATGATTCAGTAGTATGCCACTGATATTCAGCTCTAAATCTGTTCTCAAGAAACTGACTTAAGAATAAATAATGGATTTTATCCAGTACTATTTTACTTTTTTTTTTTTTTTTTTCTGGAATGACTTGCACAGCATTCATTCAGCAGGGCAGAAATGTCTTCACTTCTTAACTAAATAATTTAAAACATGCATGTAGAAATCACACTCTTGGTCTTAATATAAAAATTACACTATTTCAAAGTAAAAATGTTAACATTTTGCACTTTTTTGAATCCTATTTGTCTGATTTTTCTTTTTTGTAGAGAAAGCTACAAATTGTTTTCTCAAGTGAACAGTTACATGCATTTTCTAAATGAATTTATGTGCATGATTCCTGGTTCTACTGATCATTATGTGCATTTTTATTATTCAAATGTGCAGCTAAGTTAATTCAATTGGCCTACACAAGAGAGTAAATTTAGATATGTTTCTACTTCCACGTACAAGCACTTAAGCTATGGAAGGTCTTAATTTTAAAAGAATGAGGGTGCATACAAGAGGATAGGTTAGGTAATATTTTTTCTATAGCAGATAAAATGAAGGATATATTCAATTAGGCAATGAGAACACCTTCCTCAAAGGCATGATCTGCTTATCCTCCACTACAGATCTTTCTCACATGCCAAATATACAAAAAAGTCTCAAGTTACTCAGCCATAATCGTTCTTTTAGTAACAGTGAACTTTTATAATTATGATTAAAATTTATTCTGTAGATTTTTACAAGATATTGACAGAGGAGAACAAAGTCACCTGTTGCATCTATTGGTCAAAAAAAAATAGAGAAAAACAAAACAAAAACATGACAAATTATTTTTAACTGTTCAAAAAAAAAATATTTATGATGTAGAGAATAAATGCTCTTTTTAATAAGCAAATGAATTTTAAATCTCAAATTGTCTTCTCTTTTCCCAGCGGATGCTGGATCTCTTATGAATATGTGAGTACAGCTCGTAGTATCCATTTTCCCTGAACAAGAATAATGCAAATGAAATAAAATGCTTGGTTTTGGAGCCCTTTTTTTTACAGGAAAATAACCTAGGTTAATTATTAATCAAATTTGATAGTTACGAAAAAAAAAAAAAAAAGGATAATTGCCTACTTTACATATAAATAGTATTAAAAGCACATTTTAATTTCCAGCTGGCATCAGAAGTGTTAATCTGACAAATTCAAATCTATAGATCATCATTAATTTCCAAATATCTACCATCTGTGGCTTATTTTGATGAACTTGAGAGGGAATTCATAGATTAAGAAGCTATCCTTTCGATGAGACACTCAGCTAAAATGCTTGCATTCAAGTCTATTGAAGTTAATAATATTGAAGATAAACACAGCCAGAGTCTTCAGGCAAATAATAATGGCAAGGCACTGAACTGGAAGAAATGACTTTAATTTAAATTACCTTTTCAAATGTAGCCTTGACTACATTTGGTGGTGACTAGGGACAGTGACTCTCTTTGAAATATTAATTTTTCCAATTTGAAATTCCTTTTGCCTGGTTTTCAAAATCATTGAACAACTACAGCTTCAGCTGACACACTGGGACTTGAAAGCATTTTTCCTTTCTGGAATTAGGGCCATCCGTAACGAGCAATATGCTATTTCCCACTAGAAAATCCCTGTTCCAGGTGGTGATGGGTACCACCCCAAACGACACCACAAAATTCAGTACCTCAGATGGCATTCTTGCTGGCAAAACAAACTACTCAATCTTGCTGGCAACAGCACAGGGATGTAGAAGACTGCGTCATCTCATCCAAGTCAGTGGGAAAAGCAAATGAAGTCTGTGCATAAAGAATGAGCTATCATTTCCAGCAATTCCCTTTTTAAGCAGTAAATCCATATAAAATGTGGAAGTTTGTTATCGTCACAGTACAGATAGCATTAAATGAATCACTAGTGTCTGATCAGTAGTGATCGTTAATGTCACCAGTCTGATTTTCACAGAAACTTTTTAATGTATTCATCTTAGGAAAACCTAAATGAGAAAGGCTAAAAAAGGACTGCGACTAATTTTAACCATATTTGGGCTCTTCCAGTTTTAGTCGGGTTCCTGTTCACAGATACTGCAACGGTCTTTTAATAAATACTCTAACATACAGAGTGAAGGTAACACATTGATCAACAAACTTTTCATCCTGATGTTAACTTTGGATTCAACATATTAAAAATTTATCTGCTCCCACAAGGATATCAACATAAGGTTATGAAAAGAGTGCTGCTTACTCTAGTTAAATTTGTGCTCTTGAGCTTTTAAACAGTCCCCTATAGTTGCATATTATGGGATCTCTTCCTGGTTACAAACCAATGCCTAAGTCCTGCAGACAAACACATGGAACGTTTACCTCGAAAAATCCTATTAGCATTTTATGTAGTTTAAATTTAGGTACCCTGGTATTTCTTTGCTTTTGGTTTGGTTTTAAGCCTAACTTTTTTTTTTTTTTTTTTTTTTTTTTTTTTTTTTTTTTTAATCTGTTTCCTGCTTTTGGCTTGAAAAGAATTCCTGCCTGAAGCAACCAATCGTGGCTTGCAGGGAATCTTTAGACTGTCGCATGGGTATGCCAAATCAGCTCCAGTGAGTAAAATCCCTTTTCTGTGCTTTTCTTTTAGGTGTTTTTCTGCTGTACAAGAGATCAGTGCCACTGACTGCATACTGACATCAAATACAATGAAACAAAACAGAACGAAAATAACAGAAGTATTCCCCCCTTAATTATTTTTTTTCAGCACATTCAGCAAAATAAAGCTTTCTGCTTTATAGTTTTCCTAGAGGAAAGGTCGTAAGTTCACTATTAACCACTTTTCTGCACATTCCTGTCCCTCATTATATAAGTTTGTAAACTACCAGCTTGGACCAAGGAAGGCATAAAACAAAGCACTTTATTGCAAAGTTGTGAACCAAACTTTTTTTTTTTGAGTTTGAGGAGGGAGGAGGGAGTTTTTAACCAGTAGTACATTCGCATGGTTTATGATAACAATAGCATAACACACTAATGAGCTGAGAATTCAAGGAAGTATAATTATTACCTCTCTGACCTGTCCCAGAACTGCCAGCACCAGCAGAAAGTTCAGAGCAAGGTGAGCCATGTGTGACCATCAAACATCTTACCCCACAATTTGCAGGAGTCAAAAGCCATTCTGGTGGCTTGCAAGAGAATGTGAAGTGACACTAAAATATCACTTTCCTGGACCATGCTCACATATTTTTGTAAAAGTAACCCTCATGGGAGGCAAAGCAGGGGTAAGGAATACTGTTGATCACTTTGGCAGAAGAAAAACTGCCAAAGACATTCTCAGACAGCTTTGCCATGAGGCCTGGGCAAACACCCAAGGATTTGCTTTCAATGCAGGTGCCAGGGAACAGCAAGGGCAAGCTATTTCGTGAGGACTGGGAGCTGGGAGGTGATGGCAAGGCAGTGACGTCCAGGAGATGGGGTAGTACCTTGAGCCAGTTAATCCAATTCAGGTTCAGGTCCTGAGTCGGCGACCAGAGGCAGCCCTGGTACACACACAACTGTTAACATGGCACTTACAATGCAGGCTGTGGAAATGCACTTTCATTATTCCACTAAAATTCCTCAGTCACATGCACATAAGGGTATGTGATTCAGTCAGGACATGTGATTTCAGTTCAAGTCACACAAAAACACACTGTAGCAAAGACATTTAAATCTTGGTAGGAAGGGGTGCAGGTCTTCTCTGAAGTTAGTCTTTCTGGCACACCTCTTAATTTATCTAGGAGCTCCCATACATTCATGAAGGGCAAACACCCACTGCTATATTCCTTTGACTATCCAAGAAATGTTTGTGTGCTTCTTTATATGGTGAAGTCATTCAGTTTACAGTTGTCATTCAGTTTTTGAGAAAGTGCTACAGTTTATCTGCTATGCAAAATATTTCTTTTTATTGTTTTCTAAAACAATTCATGAAATTATATCTAACCCTACTATACAACAGCTATGAAAGGATTTTTACACGGAGCTGTATCAGCACATGATCTTTTCAATTATTTCAGCAATGGAGCCACAAAACATATCTGTATAGAATTTACAGGCAGATACTGTCTCACTGATTTTTAAATTGCTATTCTGGATGTTCTCATTTGTAGAAGGTGGAAGAAAAAAAGATTCAGAGGCATTTCACAAGAGGAAAAGAGGTTGAAAAATACTAATACTCCATCTCAAGCAAAGGTAAAGCAGCTCTTAAATCAGCAGTACATTTTATTGAATATTTTGCAGATAACCTAGTCCTTATCATCAACTGTCTGGAAAAGAGACAAGAGCAAATTTTAATGTTTTACATGAAATAATCCCATGGAAAGGTACCAACCCTTTAATTACAATAGAAAAGGTCACCCCCGTCTGCTTTTTTTTTGTTTGCCCAGCATAAAATTACGTCAAAATTTCTAACTGCAATAGTCACCTCTATAGATGTGACACAGTAACCTCTTTTAAATCACACTCTATCCGTAGCCAGATATGGCATCAACTTTGCTATCAGATCAAGAAGTCCTTTTGATGGTCCAACAAACCTAATCCAATCGTCTACAGTGACCATGGAAACTGGAAATAAATAAATAAATAAATAAATAAATAAATAAATAAACAAATAACCCCACCTCTTTAATGTACCAGTACTTTAATGATCACTGCCCTATTCTACCCTCTGAATTTCAAAGTGACTTTTAAAACTGTTATGGAGTTTAAGTATAGCTTAATATGCCAGAAAACAGTTCTGGTGGTTATTTCCCCATCTGTATTCGAAAGACACTGCTACAAATTCCTGCAGGGAGAGGGGATTGTCCATTTTCTTTTTCAGACAACTTTTTGTTATTCCCTAGGTTTTACAGAATCAATAGCAGAACTTTGTGGCTCTGCTATGAGTGTTTTGTACTTCGCTTCAATGATGAAGTGAAATATTC